AGTATCAATATTCTGTTGGTCAACATTATATCAATGTTGGAGAGCTCACACACAGTTTCGTGAACACTCAGCGTCCTGATATGATCGCCATTTTTGAGACACTTTAGAGCGACTGGACTCCGGAAACTTTTGCAAGAATTTCTGGCTACTCCTCATGGATGTGACGAGACAGGCAAAGGTTAAGGAGCAGGTGTTACCTTGTGCTTTTCTAAAAGTATTCACCTCACTGATGTTGCCACTGATGTGCCCACCTCATTGATGCTGCCATTCCTAATCACCTGGAAATGATGTTCTTCAATCTATGCATAAAGACTAGTTCCTCTGTACTAGCATGTCCAATGAACAAACCTGAATGGCAGCAAGCAGATACCATCACCTTCTTGATAAAAAAAAAGTGGACTTCCTTCTGCTTCAACATTACTGTCAAAATTTGTAACTGATCACATGAGGCATTCACTATGGTATGGTCTTGGATGCACTGGAAGACAAACAATATGCAGACTTTGCGAAATCCTTCGACAAGTGCAACAAGTGCTTGCTAAAGGAATAACAAAATAAGTGGATAGATGGATCTATAACTTCCTAACATATAGAACAAAAAGAGCATTAGTAAACAGAGTAAAGTCAGAGGCGGCTACAGTGAAAAGCTTTGTTTCATAATGTACAATACTCGCTCTCATCCTGTTCCTCATCCTCATATCTGGCATAGACAGAGATGTAAGCCACTGCACCGTGTCCTCCTTTGCTGACGATACCAAAATTTGCGACAATGCCATCCATTGAGGATACTGCAGATCTCCAAGCGAACATTAACAAAGTCTTTCAATGGGATTAAGAATACAATATAAATAACAAAAAAAAAGGCACAATACCGTAACTGGAACGATACACATATAACCCGCACATAGAAGAGAGGAGCTTACGACGACGTGTCGGTCCGACTTGGACCATTTACAAAGTCTAAGTCGGATGTGCGGGTTATTTGTAAATCAGTTGCTGTCAAAAAGTCAGTGAGAGAGTCTGGATTAAAGGTGGGTCCATCAGCAAGAAGGGAAGGTAAAGAAAGGGCAGCAGCGCGGAGACGATGTTGGAGGTAAATTCTTCGTGCTCGTTAATAGAGCGGGCAGTCCAACAGAATGTGGCTAACAGATACTGGAACTTGACAATTCTCACAGAGAGCAACAGGATGCCTCTCCATGAGATACCCGTGAGTAAGAAGTGTGGGGTCAATGCGAAGCTGGGAGAGAGTAGTCTCCCAACCTCGACACTGATGACAAGAAGACGGTCAGAAACCTATACTCGGTTAAACAGAATGAAGTTTGTTATGAAGCAGATCAGACCAACGTTGTTGCCAACAGGTGCGAAGATGAGTAGTAATTACAGCAAAATGGTCCGTGAATGGAAAACCTCTATGTGAAATTGGGAGGTCATGTACTGCTGACCATGCAGCAGTGTCTGCCTGTTCATTGCCCTGTACGTCAACATAACCAGGGACCCAACAAAACACAGTATATCTGTGTTTGCTAGAGATACAGTGTAACCAAAGTTAGATACGAAGAACTAGGGGGTGAGGTGTATCAAATTTCCTTATGGCCTGTAAAGAACTAAGGGAGTCTGAACGACCACAAATGGTGACAGAGGCATTGATGCAATACGGATTAATGCTACAAGAATGGCATACAATTCAGCCGTAACAATTCAGCCGTAAAAAAATATAGCCGTCGGTAATAAATGCCCTCTCATGACACTGTCCGTAAACACTGCTGGAATCTGACGTCATCAGAAGACTAAGAACCATCGGTGTACACCACGGTGGCATGAGAATGAGAGTGGAAGTGGTCATGAAAAAGAGAGCAGGAAGCCACCGTAGGTAGTTGGGTTTTCAAGCATGGCAGTAGGAAAGAACAGACACGAATAGCCGGAACTTCCCAAGGGGGCAGGGAAAAGTGAGACGCTACATGAACAGAGAGGTGGTGACTGAAGAGAAGACAAGAGCGAATGTAGACCGACAGAGAAGGGACGGAGTAAACAGGGGCGATGGACAAATAAAGAACCTCTATTAACATCAGTGACTATCCTATATACGGAAGGATTGTAGAGGTCATGAGATCGAACATAATAGCGAAGGCAATGAGCAATGATCAGACAAGAATGGAAAATTCGCTTCTGCATAGAGGCTCTCAACAGGGGATGACCTTGGTGATGTATAGGATCTAACTTAGACAGAATTGTGGGAGAGGCTGCACAATAGATTTGGTCACCATAATCTAGCTTCGACAAGACTAGGGTGTAATGCAAACGGAGGAGAGTGAGACGATCCGCTCCCCATGAACGATGTGCGAGAACCTTAATTAAGGAGATTTAGCCGACCATGGTCTCCACGTCAGCCTGCGATCAAAGAGCAGGCCCAGAAACCTGACCATATCACATGCCGGAATAAGTGAACAGTGTAAGTACAAGGGAGTATCTAGTATAAGCACGTGTCTAGTGAAGGTAATGA